AATTACTTTACAATATTGTAGTGGTTTTTGCCATACATTGACATGAATCAGCCATGGATTTGCATGTGTTCCCTATCCTGAACCCCCCTCCCACCTCCTTCCCCATCCCATCCCTCTGGGTCATCCCAGTGCACCAGCCCTGAGCACTTGTCTCATGAATCCAACCTGGACTGGCGATCTGTTTCACACTTGATAATATACATGTTTCAATGCTATTCTCTCAGATCATCCCACCCTCGCCTTCTCCCATAGAGTCCAAAAGTCTGTTCTATACATCTGTGTCTCTTTTTCTGTCTTGCATATAGGGTTATCGTTACCATCTTTCTAAATTCCATATATATGCGTTAGTATACTGTATTGGTGTTTATCTTTCTGGCTTACTTCACTCTGTATAATGGGCTCCAGTTTTATCCATCTCATTAGAACTGATTCAAATGATTTCTTTTTACATATTACAACTGAGTAATATTCCATTGTGTATATGAGCCATAGCTTTCTTACCCATTCGTCTGCTGATGGGCATCTAGATGCCCATTAGCTGACTTGTTAGAATACTTTTCTGGAGCTCTTTTCCTGCCTGAGAAACAAAAACATGCCTGGGAAAAGACCTAATGCTAACTATTAGCTTTGTACTTGAGATTCACAGCCCACTCTGTCTGGGATTCCAGCCATGAGCAAATCAGTAGAATTTCAAGCCAAGGGGGGAAAAAGGGTAAAGAAACATTTTGAATTTCAAACGGAAAACCGTGAGGTCTATGTCCAGATTTATATGAGTCTCAGTGTGTGTCTTCACCTTTGGGCAATATTGATGAAGGTTAATTAGCCTAAAGAGAAGTAAGCACTTACAAATCAAACAATTCTAGATTCAAGAAAATTATACTAAACGAATTTCAGGCTTGTGTGAACTGGGACATATTTACTATTGAATTGATACCTGATATTAATGTTTATTTATTTACTTTGTGAAAATATTTTTGTAAATGACATAGCCTTGGGTGATTTATGTTTACCAATCTAAAGAATGATGATATCAAGTATAGTTCATGGTTGCTGAATGAAAGTAGGATGTGTGTTTTCAATAAAAAGTTCTATTACATTCTATTAAGGGAAAAGGAAGTAAATCTGAACTTATAGGTGGCTGTTCTCTGAGTGGAGAAATACAGTGGGCAAATACAAAATATAAAAAGGTTTCGGACAAAAGAAAAAAGTTTGTGGCAGGTAGAAGAGAGTTTTGTGCATGATACAAATTTCTTGTCATTAAACTGTCTTTTATTGATACTTTTGAATAACTATTGTTTCACAGTGAATGTAAAGTGGTACCAAACTAGAATTTGTTTTTCTCTCCCCTTTAAAAGAACAAAGTCTTCTTGGAACATGGCTTTTGATAACAGACTATATGAATTTCTTTGTCTTTAAGTGATTCATACTTGCTTTTAAAATATTTTGTTACTTTGATAAAATGAATGAGTGTTATTTCACAATGATCTATGGAGACTATGGCACACATAGACAAAGCTCATTCTGCTTCTACAGAGTTAACCCCTCATCAGGGACTTTAAAATGGATAAACAAAGGCTATAAACCAAACAGTCAGGGCTACGGGAGGTCCAAGACAGCTGCTTGGCTTTTCCCAGCTCCCTGACAAAGCTCACTTTTATTCAATAAGATAACGCCTTTCCTGGCTTCAGGATTAATATCTCACAATAGAGAAAAAAAATGGTTAAAATGTATTTTCTGCAATTTCCAGTGATTGGGACACCCAATTTGCCGGACAAGTCATACAGACATTGGCATAGAAAACTTCACGAGCTTCTTGGAGACTATTATTTTCACTGGCATCCCCGGTCATCAAGCAAGGACAGCAGAACAAAGGGATCAGTTACATATGATTGAATAAACTGCTAAATATGATTACAATTTTCATAACTTTTTGTCTGGCATGCTACTGGTTTCTAATTTTTGTTTACAGATATAAAGTAGCTCTTCTCCTCAAGTTACTAATGGTTTCAAACAATTTAGTGATTTACACCTGTTGGTTAAGTTATAACTTTTTTCTCTCTGCCTCATCTCTCCAGAAATCAGAGCCTTATCAGATATAAACCTCAAAGTATACTGGGGAGCTCTAAAAGAAAACTCCACCCAACTGATGTCAGGCCTATGGCATCTATTATGCTTCACTGAATATTAAGTTCTAGTTTTGTTAATTAAGGTCTGTATATACTAAGATTCACTTCTGAGACAGTTCCTTGTGGTTATGTTATATTGGTAAGAGGTTTAATTAAGTTATTTAAAAAGGCACTCTGAGTTTTTTTATAAAGCTTATCTCAGTAACCAGTCTTTGAATAAAGATCACATGCTCTAGGATCTACAACCAGGAGACTAACAACAGGCCAGAATCATTTAACAAACTAAGTCAGATGACCTGGAGATGTCACTGGGCTATACCTAATGGAAGTTCTTGACTTAAGTTCTTACTTATGATTTTACTATTACTACTAACTATATTGTTTTCTATACTGCTTGTTGCAAAAGTGTTGTCCCTTACATTATCAAGTGTGTGACTGAGCCACTGATATAATGATGGTGTGCAGTTACATATGAAATTCATAATTATAATGGTGTGACTCTGTATATGAGAAGAAGCAACAAGAGGGAATATTTTCCTGGACCAACAAACTAGTGAGACAAGTGTGGTCCAGAGACTTTTGCTACTCACAAGGCCTAGTCAAGTGGCAGCACATCGAGTGACCTATCAGCGAAATCTTCAACAGACCTGGGAATGAGCCTTCCCAGTACTGTGGGACAAGATGGTCATGAAATCCCCTCCGAACCATGGGCAAACTCATGGCCATAAAGGGGCCCTGTGACTGGAAATTGGAACTTGCCATCTGCCTCTACAAAGATTAAAAATTATGGACACTACAGCTGCTGACCTTCAACATCCCCTGAATAGAATTCAGGGTGAAAATCAGAAATTAGACACTCACTCTGTGCTCTAAAAAAAAAAAAATGGACAAAACAGGCCTTCAGATAGATATTTTCAGGTAAAGATTTCTTGAGCCCAGATTCTTGCATCTTCTCACACCTAGAAAAACACTGAAATTGTTAATGGTGACAACTACTTTGGCTTATATGTTAACACCACAATAAGAGGCTAAAGCCTACTTGGACAAACTTAGACAACTGGTTACCTGGCTATAAGTCTCCCTAAAACAGCTGTCTACAGTGGGGCTCAGACTCATTCTTCTAAAAAGAAATGGTAAGACTTATTTTGTTTGTTAAGATTCAGGTTGTCACTCTTCCAACTACTTCTAACTGGACTTGTTATACCTACATTCAAAATGTGTATGAACACACCAAATGGCTCCATTTTTATAAACAGGGCAGCCCAAGTGTTGACTCTATCTAGAACAGCATCAAAGTTACTACCAATGTGACCTGATTCTTACTCTTGCTTGGACCGCTAACTACAATAATTCTTTTACTGATTATTAGGCTCCGCCTTTTTAATCTACTTGTCTAGTTTGTTCTTTCTAAAGGATACAATGGCTTCTCAGACAAAATAAAGGTGATGAAGAAATTCTGGTCACACTTCAAAGTGGACTCCCCTGATGTTCTACTCTCGTCACAGATACAATTTTGATTTACAAGCTCTCCTTGGTGGAAAACTATCTTGACTGTAATAATTGTAATCATCTTATTCTTGCAGTTTGCTCCTTATATCTGTAACTGTATAATGAATTTTGTATCTAAGCGGCTTGAGGCATTTAAGTTAAAAATGGTTTTTCAAGCTCCTAGGATTGCCACAGCCTCTTCCAACTATTACTTGGGGCCCCAGGATCAGAGATCCTCAGTGTGAGAGTAAGGAAAATACGTTGCCTCAACAATTTAGGGTCTGTGCCCCTTACCAGCAGGAAGAAGTTACAGAAAGATTTCTCTGCCCCTTTCCCTGGCAACCATATTCTGCTAAAAGAAAATGTGTGTGTGTGGGGGGGGGGGGGGGGGGCGGAATGAAAGAGTTAAAGCTTGGGCAGGCAGTCTAAAGCCCTTTAAGGAGGAGATGAACTTTCTCCCTCATGCTTTCTTTTTGCCTTGTGCAACAATGTATCTTGCCCAAGAACTGGCCTCTCTTTAGAAGCTAATGATCACACAGCACAACCTCTTTATTCACAGAACTGCTTTTCTTAGGCTCTGTGTTAATGACTATAATTGTAACACGTCTTGCCTGGGAACCTGTTTCTCAAGAGGTACCCCTGATTACACAGCAACAGTATATCTCACAGAGTCAGTTGCCCAGAACTGTTCTCCTTGGCTAATCTTGTGTCAAAGTTATCTCAGGGTGTATACCTTGGGAAAAGGTTTGATGGAATTCTTACAATCTTGACGTATTCATTTTGTCTATTTTCAACAACTAGTTGAGAAGTATATGAGGCCCCGCTTAAACTAGAGAGGTGGGTACTCTCCTTCCCTCTCCTGATGTCTATATCAGAAGCTTTTTCTGTCACTTTCTCTTTAAATAAAATCTACACAAAGCTCTGAGTGACTGAGACTGTCTTTGGTCCCGGAGTTAAATCGGAGTCTCCTTTGGAGACCACGAATCCTGTGGCACCATTCACCATTCACTGCATAAGCTATTAAACCTAGTTATCTGTGTTGATGCTGCTATTTTCAACCTTGTACTTAGTAATTGTTTCTTTACAAAGAATAAACAATGGTGTTACCACAAAAATCCATAATTAATGCAATTTTTTTTTCCTGAGTTCTGAAGAAAACACAGGCCTTTCCCATAAGAATTTTTTAAAAAATTTTTGAAAGACTACACAGACTACCTCTTTCTAGTGTAAGGAGTGTAATCACAACGTGTGGCCCAAGTACTAGCAGCCTCAGCATCACCTGGGAGCTGAATAAAAGTGCAGAATATAGACCTTACCTTGACCTCCAGAGTTGGAATCTGCATTTGAACAGGTAATTCTCAGAAATTCTTAAATTTGAAAAGCACTATGCCAAGTATCTTTTGGTCTACTCTCGAAGGTCTGTGTGTGGAAGAAGGTCCTGGAGAAGGAAATGGCAACCCACTCCAGTGCTCTTGCCTGGAGAATCCCAGGGACAGCGGAGCCTGGTGGGATGCCCTCTATGGGGTCGCACAGAGTCGGACACGACTGAAGCGACTTGGTAGCTGCAGAAGGTCTGTGCAGGCTAATTTTGTTTGCCGAGAGTTTTGCCTGGGGATTCACAGCCCCACGTACCTACATTCCAAAAACAGAAGGGGGAGCCCTAATCCCCCCATTTCCAGATCTGGTTAGAGTCGATTCCTGTTCGTTGTCTGTCTGGTGGGATTAAATGGAGTAGTAGAGGCAGCGTAAAGAGAGAAGGAAAACCGAAAAATTTGCTGCCCCCTGTTGGTGGGAATGGGGGAAGTCAAGGAATCTGGCAGAGCCCGGGGCTTCTCAGAGGTATTGAGGACGGAATCAGACCACAAAGCAAGCAGAAGGGGAAACTAGGGAAGAACAGAGTCAAGATTTTATACTTCTACTTCTGCTTTTTGTTCTGAGTCTCTCTGGTTATTTTTCATCTTTTAAAATAATTTCCCCCACATTTTTGCTTTCTCTTTTTTCTTTGAAGAAATAATCGTAGTAATATCTTATACATAGCATGCTACTATACACTATCTGGTATACAATAGAACAATATTTTATAGAAAGCAACTTTATAGAATTTTTTGCAAATGAATATTCCATACCTTTCTCACGTTTTCTTTATTGTGCTGTGTGCTCAGTCGCTCAGTCATGACCAACTCTTTGTGAACCTATGGACTATAGCCCGACATGCTCCTCTGTCAATTTTGATGCTCCTCTTGTCAAGATTCTCTTGGCAAGAATACTGGAGTGGGTTGCCATGCCCTCCTCCAGGGGATTTTTCCAACCCAGGGATTGAACCCCCGTCTTTTAGTCTCTTGCATTGGCAGGCAGATTCTTTACCACTAGCTTGGATTATCATTAAAAGTAGTTCTTGTTTCCATTCATTTGGGCAAATTTTGGAGGGTTGTCTTGGGCACAAAATCATCTTCATTATTGCCACCATGAGGGTGGAGTTATTGTTGTTCAGTTTCTCAGCTGTGTCAGACTCTTTGCGACCCCATAGACTGCAGTACACCAGGCTTCCCAGTCCTTCACCATCTCCCAAAGTTTGCTTAAACACATGTCCATTGAGTTGGTGATGCCATCCAATCATCTCATCCTCTGTTGCCCCCTTTTCCTCCTGCCTTCAATCTTTTCCAGCATGAGGGTCTTTTCCAATATCCTTTTCCAAGATCCAAGATGCAAAAGTCAGCTTTTTGCAACAGAAGGCCAAAGTATTGGAGCTTCAGCTTAAGTCCTTCCAATGAGTATTCAGGGTTGATTTTCTTTAGGATGGACTAATTTGATCTCCTTGCTGTCCAAGGGACTCTCAACAGTCTTCTTTAGCACCATAGTTCAAAAGCACCAATTCTTTTGTGCTCAGCCTTCTTTATAGCCCAACACTCACATCTGTACATGACTACTGAGAAAACCATAGCTTTGACTGTACAGACTTTGTCAGAAGAGTGATTTCTCTGCTTTTTAATAAGCTGTCTAGGTTTGTCATAACTTTTCTTCCAAAGAGCAAGCATCTTTTAATTCCATGGCTGCAGTCACTATCCACTGTGATTTTGGAGCCCAAGGAACTAAAATCTGCCACTGTTTCCACTGTTTCCCCATTTATTTGCCATGAAGTGATGGGACCGGATGCCATGATCTTAGTTTTTTGTTGCAAAATCCCAGAGGTGAAAGACTGCATGGGGAGAATTCAAGAAATGAGAAATGAAGTGTAAGCATTCTGTGCTTTGGCAAAGTGGTGACTCAAGAAACACAAATGACTTCCCAGACACTGTCTGCACCATCAACTGCACTCCTTTGCCTTGAAAATAAGTGTAACTGTAAAGAAAATGGGGTAAGGCAGGTGTACAATGTGCCATCTTCTTCCTTAGCAAGGTCTATGTTTTATTTAAACTCTGCTCAATACTATGTAACAACCTAATTGGGAAAATAATTTGAAAAAGAATAGATACATGCACAAATGTTTGATTGAATCACTTTGTTGTACACTTGGAACTAACAAAATATTGTTAATCAACTATAATCCAATATGAAGTAAAAAGTTAAAACAAATTTAGTCTACAACTGGTTTTACCTTCTGTTTTGATTTAGTTCAAAAACATTGCAAAACTGAAGTGGCCCATAAGCTTTGTAGCCAAGACACACAGATGATGATATTCTCCTCTTCTAAATGGGATTGCTGACAAGCTGAAACAAAAGCCTGAGAGAAAATTATTCAAAGCTTTTGGGGACTCCTCAAGATGTCAGATCTGATTGTCTGACCCCAACTGCATGTTTAGCTCACTTTGATTATGGGTCTCTACCTGCATATTCCGTGAGAAAGGAAGAGAGGCCTTCTGGGGTCAGCCTGAACTGTAGATTTAGACAATGAACAAAAATGTGCTTTAGATTCTTCAGTTACTAAAATGGAATAGCTCTTATTTTCTTGAAAACAGATAAAAACAGTAGAATCCTAAAATTTATATAACATTCAAATAAATGCTTAAACATTGTATTCCCATTTTTCTTCGGTTCAGGTTTGTTTCAGTTCTCAGATATCATAAAATCTATAGGAGCAGTGACTTTTTTTGAATGAAAGGATAATCTGGGTTTTTGTTGTTGTTGACAAGTCTCACACTTTATCGGAAGTGGAGACTGCTCAAGAATGACTTTAAGTCACTTAGTCAAGTCAGGATTTGCCAGCTTTTTAGTTTTGTCTCCTGTAGGGTCAGCGTGGTCAGAAGAGAAGGTAGGAAGAAGAGATACTCAGCCCGGCCCCAGGTCTGGTTGCTGAGAGCAGAAAGTGTTCTCAGGTAGGTCAGAATAGAGGCGATGGGAAAGGGTTTTCAGGAGTGAATATGACTCCCAAGACACAATTAAAAAAAAAAATGGGCCAGGGACTAGGCATCTGAAGAGGCAGGTGATGAAAGTGGAATCCTGCCAAGCGGCCAGACCTAGGGATTAGGTTCCAGAACAAAGGAATCAAAAAGCAGATAGACAGGAATGGATGTCATGCATGGACTCTCAGCCCAAGGTGAGCAAAATCTGACTGTGTTTTTCAGGTTTTAACCCAGGTGAAGTTGGATAAAACTGTTCACTTATGATTGTTCTTTATAAGGTTGCACGCACTCTGTAGTCAACATTCTCCACCCCTACATTCTAAGGGAGCCATTGTAACTGTTGACAAGAACAAGTAGAGAGAAAGCTGGATGTCCGCCCTCAGCTCCCACCTCAGCCAGCAAACAACTTACATAAGTGTGCACAGTGGTAAGAAGAAACTTTCCTGATTGTGGCAAAAAGCTACTGTCGTGATGTGGCTTACGCATTTAATTTTTTAGTATATTGCTTTGCTGATGGGAATAGTACTTTTCTTGAAACCATAAGAGATTAGCAAAAGAAAATTAAATGCCAAGGAAAGCTGAAAATAAAGCGTATTGTTGCAATCAATGAGTCACAGTTCTGGGCAAAGACTTTGAAGTTGCCACACCTTATAGCTTCCACTCAGACACAGCATGAGTGAGAGGAAAAAACCATGGCTGTGAATCGGCCCCAGAAGACAAGACAGCTAAGCTGACCTCTGAGCTGTAGCATGAGCAACTGTGGTAGGCACGTGGTGACTAGTGACATTCATTCTCCATCACCCCTGAGAGAGCACCAGAACCCAAGCAACTTCTCTTAAGAGGAATCAAGAGGGAAATGGTTCCAGAGCAGAAGCGATACCTTCTAGAAGAGATACTTTCAAAACTGGGGAGATTATTTTCACACTATAATACAGGGCTGCTTCTTATTCTGCTTTACTTTACTTCTCTGACTCTGTTCATTCATTTATTCAACAAATCTTTATTGAGTATCTACTGAATTAGGTACTAAGGATGTAGTGAGAAAAACAGGCAGGGTCCCTCTGTCATAGGCCCCTCAGAGGGAAGCAGGCAGCTGATAACACAATATGAATGTGACACTGTAGCCATGATCAGGCTTCAAAGGGGAGGTACCTGATGCACTGACAGAGTGAAAGAGAGGATTCTAGGCAGCTAGAGAGCTCAGCTCAGGCTCCCAGGACAGTAAAGGAATTTGTAGGAAAAGCAGGCGAGAAGCAGAGGGAGGAAAGTTTACAAACAGAAGGACAGTAAGAGACAAATTCCCTTCAATATCCCTCAACATTTCAGCTCTGAACACTTCATTTCTAGTTTCTTGAGAACATAGAGACATGTTTCAGTGAAAAACCCTGGAACCTAGAGTCAGCTGGTCTCATTCTAACCCTGTAATAATACTCACACAGCTTTGAACCAGCTACTTAGATTTGCTGAGACTCAGTTTTGTTACCAATAAGATAGAAATAATAAAACCCAGCACATAATAAAAGTTAGCTCCCTTCCCCATTGTCCAATTTTCATCATCTGTCTGAGACTCAATGTTTTCATTGAAAAATAGTAGTAAAAATTACCTATACTAGGCAATTGAAATTTAAGTGGGTTCACTTGTAAACTCTAAAGCATTATATAATTATCAGGTAACATTAATCACTTATAAAATATTTGTGAGGCCTACTGTACTCCAGATCCTGTAAGAGCTATTGGAGAAATGGAAGGTTGATTGGGGCACACCCTTGCTCTCTGGAGAGAGCTGCTAAAAGAGAAATTCATTCTTTTCCTTGATCGAGAGAGAAAAGGCAGCAAGGTCAGAGGGAACAGCCTCTGTGGTCTGCACAGGCAGGCAAGTTCCTGGCACTTGACCCTCCCTGGGGGATATCTGATACCTTCCCTCCAGTTATCAGCTGACAGGATGGATTTTCAAATCTTAAAAATCAGCAGACAAAGGAATCTTCCATCAAACAAAAAACTACCTGAGAGCATAGGGAAGTAGTTGCTCTGACTGATGGAAGAGGTTTTCAAAGATGAAGAGAGAAAAATAGATCTCTGTGTGTCTAGTAAAAGAGGATGGAAAAACCCAGATTCTCTGATTCCCAGCCCAGCCAGCCAGCCCTCCCTCTTTGAAGCTCTTTTTGCCATATTTTCCTATTCCTTTTGAGAAGACATAAAATAAGTAAGGAGTGGAAGATTTCTTGCCCAACCATGATTCAGGAGGAAGCCCAGCCACAGAACAGGCAAGTGTGGCATCGCCTAGAGAAAAAGGACTTGCAGAGACAGGTCTCATTTAGATCCACCCCAGATTTTGCAAAGAAGGCACCT